CACAGACACAGACACAGACACACACGCACACGCACACACACACACACACACTTACACTTGGCAATCGGCCCCTGCGTGGATCGCAATATCTTTGAACCATATTGCCCGCCAGGTGTTTTAGCCGATTTATGGGCGTATGGGCTTGTATGGGGCATATATGGCAATTGTATGAGCCGTGTATAGGGTATATAGCGGATGAGTAAATCTGGTCATCGCACGCTAGAGCCTTAGACGTTCACGCACGCAGAACGATTGGAAGAATCCTAAGCCTTAAACCCTAAACCCTAAACCCTAAACCCTAAACCCTAAACCCTAAACCCTAAACCCTTAAAGATCCAAACCCTAAAATTCTGAATCCGATTCTACACCGGCGAGACTCAGAAAGCGCAGGCTTCATTAGCTCTGCCCCTGCAGTGCAGGCATACGGGTTGATGTATGAATTGACCTTCAGTGCACTCCCTAATTTACCGTAAAATCCCTAGCCTTAGTCTTATGGGTCTAATATAGGTGGCTAAATAATTACCTATACTGTTTTGATGGGTTCCTCATTATAGCTATACTATAGTCTACCCCAAAACCCTCTTCTAATTAATTAAGCCCCCTGTATTAGACTCACCGTTTGTACGCCCAAACCGTAAATAGCATCAACCCTGTAAGCTCACGTCCATGAAAACCCTAAACCCTAAACCCTAAACCCTAAACCCTAAACCCTAAACCCTAAACGTTTAGGATTTAGGGTTTAGGATGAGCCATTGTGAGTCGAAGCCGGAACCCCAAGGGTCCGAAGGACCCAATAATCGGGCAATTTGGGTACGGATAGTAGTCATCTATAGCTTAATATTTGGGGAAAGTATATGACTATTAGGTACGGGTACGGATAGTAGTAGTCTAGCTTTAATATTTGGGGAAAGTACATGATTACGAGGTACTTGGACCCTTAGGGGAAACGCTATCAACCCAAAGCCCAGGTCCATGGGGGTGATCGTGTACATGCTGCTGAGTGGAAAGCCCCCCTTTGACGGCAAGGAGGATGCCGATGTCCTCCAGCTCAGCTTTAACATCTTTGTGTTGTTGGTGTTGGGGGCTTCTCTGTATTCGACGGCTGCAGGGCAAGAAAACTCTTCCGTGGGTGTCACATAATTCTCAGGTACTGCAAAGTGCAACAGAAACTGTGTAGGTTGCAGAGAAGAGAAGCACGCGCTGACACACGTAGAAAGGCATAAAGACGCAGCCGCTGCAAGGAAAGAGTGCATCTAGGAACAGCGAAGACATATATGCTCCCAAGGGTACGGTTTAGGCAGGGGAAAGACAAGATGGTCAGATGTGACTTACGTAATCATGATATATGCGTGCAAGGAAATACCGCAACAACCAAACACGCCTCAGCATTATCCGAAGGAGTTAGAGGATCCAGATCGTGACGGAGACGCTCCTAGACCCACATTTACTATGGATCACTGGTGGTAAGCAGCATTAGTGTTGTTGTACATCTGAGGTATGTAAGTATGTAAACTCTGCAGCAATCATTGGCAACTAATGACTCCTTGCGCCTTTGCTTGGTGGGCTGCTGGACTAACACCGAAAACGAGCAAAGGTTCGAACTGACTCCATAAGGGTTCTATAGAAATTGTCGAGGGTTCTAGACGGTTCCTATGGCGGTTGAAGAAGTTCTGTTCCAAGGTATATGGAAACGTAAAATGCTTAATTGATTCTACAACGCCTCACACCCGAAGCTCTACCGTAATACCGTGCTGAGTCAAGTGGTTGATAATTCGCTCGTTATAAAGCTCATGTCGATACCAGGGTAGATACTTGTTCAACGGGGCTAACTATTATGTAGTAAGACACTTTAATTCCCCAAGCCGAAGCGTAGGAGACTGGGTAAGCAAGTCGTTTATCACCAGAGCCCTGCTTTTCCTTAGAGGTCGTCGGCAAGATCAAGCAGGGCCGCTTCATCTGCAACGACAAACGGCGGGGCGCTCTGAGTTGGTTCGGGAAGCTGCGTAAGATCGTCAGTCAGCCCTAAACCCTACCCTGAACCCTAAAGTTTGAGACATTTTAATCCTGAAGCCCTAAACCTTTCAAGCCCAAGACCCTGATGCCCTACCGCCCTGTAAATGCTTGAAACCACCACATGTTGCAATGTAGAAGGTAACCGCAAATCCTTACCCCTATAACACCCTAATTAGAGCCTGCAGCGGGCAAATAAGATCCTTCCGGTTGGAGAGTTTTTTAGGGCTTTAGGGTTCAGGGTTCAGGGTTTAGGGTTTAGGTTTGGGGTAGGTTGGGTTCAGGGATGGACTTATTTTTTGTCTAAACCCTAAACCCTAAACCCTAAACCCTAAACCCTAAACCTCGTAGCTGTATAAGCATTTTACTGACCCCGGCTCTCTGGTTTATTTGAGTTCTACGAGGATGGTTTTTGGGGGCTCGTCGTGCCAGGACCGGAACACTCCAGGAGTGCAGGGGTTGGGCTTGGGTTTAGGGCTTAGGGTTCAGGGGAATCTACGCCTGCCTAGGGCCCTAGGATAGCTTCTGGACAGTCGAGTGGGGGACTAGAAAGAGGGCATTGGGCATGAAGGGTTTTAGGACTCAGACCTCATCATCACTGGGTGTGATGAGCTCGTTTGGAGGATTCCACCCACTTGGCCCTTCGACACCAAGCTGTACATAGGACCCCTTTAATTGATGAGCCGCGGCCAAGAAGCCAAGCACAGATCCTCCTGAGGAGCTTAGAAGAAGCTTGCCCTAACGACCCGTGGGTTTGGGGCTTAGGGTGTAGCGTTAAGAAACCCGTTTAGAACTGGAACCTTGTCTACACCAACAAAGGCATTTTGCAAATCCTATGCCCTAAACCCTAAAACCTGCCGCGAGGTGGGAAGGCATCTCCGAGACGGCGAAGCACTTTGTGCGAAGTCTGCTGCGAAAGGACGCACTCGGGATGTTGCGTGTAGAGCGCCCCGAGGATTCGCTAGGGGCTTGAGGTTTAGAGTTTTGGTATGTTTAGGTTCTAGAGTTTAGTCCCTGGTGCATCTCGATTGCATGATTTTGAGTTTGTGGCTCAGAGTTCAACGTAGCATCTGAGGGCTTCGAGTTTAGAGTTCCGAGGCGTTTATCGTTTAGAATCCAGGGCTTATCGAGCATCATGCCGTTGTCTTGTGCAGGATCTGAGACATACATACAGGCTGGGTGCCCTAAAGCCTAAGCCCCAATTCCTAAACCCTAAACCCTAAATTCTAAACCCTAAATCCTAAACCCTAAACCGTAAATCCTAAACCCTAAACCCTAAGCTGAGAGGTTGGGGGTTTCAGGTTATTGGGTTACTTTGGGCCTCAGGTGGTATCCTGTGACTCCAACCGGGACCAGACCACGGTTTAGGGTTTAGGGTTTAGGGGACCTTGTGCAACCCAGACCTTCCAAAATCTATTGATAAAGGAATGTCTTGAGACCATCACGCACAGGTTTAGGGGTTTAGGGTTTAGGGTTTATTCAAGGCCCCTAAACCCTTATAGTAACCCTTATGGAACCCTTTAAGGATCCCTCAAAAAGGAACCCCCGAACCCCATTCTAATTATTAAGGCCCCTGTAGTAGACTCTGTTTCGAACCCAGCATTCCGGGGCAGATGAAAGTTGTGCAGAAAGCGTCGGTTCCGGTGGAATTTTATGATGCAAGGGTTTAGGGTTTAGGTTTAGGGCTTTCAGGGTTTAGGGTTTAGGGCTTTTCAGGGTTTAGGGTTTAGGGTTTTTTAGTGTTTAAGGTTTAGGGGGCACCTATACCCTAAACCCTCAAACCCTACAGCCCTGAAGGAGAATCCTCCAACATGAAAGCCCTAACACCAAAGCTGCGCCACCAAGCTCCCAAGACACGATGAACGGTTTAGGGTTTAGGGTCTAGGGTCTAGGATTTAGGGTTTCGGGTCTAGGGTCTAGGGTTTGGGTTTAGGGTTTGGGGTCTGGTTTATAGGGTTTAGTCTAGGACATTTTCAGGTGGGTAGTTACCATTATAGGAGGCTTATAGAAGGTCTATATACCTCATAGAAGCCTTGTAGAAGCCCTAAACCCTAAACCCTAAACCCTAAACCCTAAACCCTAAACCCTAAACCCTAAACCCTACCCTAAGCTCCCCACCAGGGGTTTAGGGACGCCTCGGCAGGATCCATACGAGCGTCTGTCGGCGGCCGAAGCCGCGCAACACGCCTGGCTCAAGATGGACCCCCGGAGTTCTTAACTGATTCAGGCTGTCGGGTTTAGGGGGTTTTAAACCCTAAGCCCTAAACTTACCTTGAGATTCTTTTCAATTGCGCGTTTCGTAGGGCTTTAGATGTTTTTCGAGTTTGGGGGTATAGGGCTGGCGGATTGCGGGCTTCAGTGGTCGAGGGCTGCGGGTTTAGAGATTTGGGCTTTGAGGCGTTATTGAGCTGCAAGGGTTGCCGATTTGGGTAAAATCCGCATAGACCAGATCATGCTGTAAGCCCGAAGTAGATGCTATCTCTAAACCCTGAACTATACACCTTAAACCATAAAGCCTACACCCTAAACCCTAAAGCCTAAACCCCATACCCTGAACCCTAAATGCAAGCTTCCGAGTTGAGAGGTATCGGGCTTTGACTTTTACCCATCTCAAACTCCTACCTACACTCTCCAGAGGTGTAGAAAAGGCTTGTTCTACTGTTGATCATATAAATCCTGCATTACCTTATGGACCCTAAACTATGGGAATTATGGTATACTCCTAATTATGGGTAATGCAGGATTTATATCATCAACCGTAGGGGAATGCTTGCAAAGCCCCATAGAGAGTGCTACCTGTGGGGACGGCAAGACTCACCAGCACAAAATCCATGAAGAGAGTGTATCCCAGACAAGATGGCAACAGTCTACTACATTCACTCCTGCGCTGTTGCTGTCAGCGGTTCAGGATTTTCCATGTGCTAGATAAGTCAGTAGCTGCATCCTGGAAGCATCATGCAAGAGATTTTCGGGAGATCACAAAAGCAGAATCTAAACTCAACTCTAAACCTCGAAGTCCTGCAGCTCTAGCCAAAGCCGCAAGGCCTTATTTCCTCAACTTTCGCCCACCAACCCAGTGGCAGGCACAAGCCATGCAGGCACTCTCACAAGCCATAAACCCGGCAACCCTCCATCCACGCAAGCCCGGATGCAAGCAAAGATCAAACCTTAAACCCTGAACCCCTAAACCCTAAAACCTCATAAACCCGAAGAGCCCTCATTAAGTTGACAGCCCCATGACCCTCCAAGAAAATCCGAAAACTCAGACACCGAGTAAGTGACCTTTAAGCCCTACTTGGAGGCCCAGGAACGCTTTTACTTTATTGTCTGGGGTTGCCGTACTTCGAAGCCCAGTCTGAATCAGGCCTAGAAGCTCATGGAATAGTATACCCCTTAAACCCGTTACTTGGAGGCCCTGGGGACTTAGTAAGACGGATGTAAGCAGGGTTGTAACTGGGAAAAGTCCATTTAGGGGTACTCCTTTTTTTTTGGGTTTCTATCCCTACATAGGCTCTAAGGACTCATCTTACAAGGCTTTGAGGCCTAAAGACCATGCTCTACAAATCTTCTGGGCTCTTTAAGCCCTAGGGTATAATCCCACCACACCAGAACTGTATGGAAGGGCAAGCTTGTTTGGGCTAGACAAATAGGGTAATTAGCATAAGTGAATAAGGTTTTGGGGTATACGGTCTACTATACTACCGTTATAACAAGGAACACAACAAAAAAACGGTCTTGGCTGTTATTTAGGCCCCTATAGCAGTCAGCCTCTGAGAAAGAATCCCCTTCGCAGGACCAGGTGTCCAAGGCCAGCTGGCCACAGGCCTCCGCCACGGATTTTGTAATGTTAGGGCCTTTGGAGGGTCTAGAGGCTGTAGAGCTTCAGGTTTTGGGTTTAGGGTTTAGGATGTTTAGGGTGTTTTTGGACTTATAGGGTCTATAGGGTGTCGACATGAATGTTTAGGACGTAGGCTGTGATTTTAGGACTTATAGGGTGAAGGGTTTACCATCACCCCCCCAAGCATCTTTTAATAAAGACGTTATGGTCCTTAATGTTGGTACTTAAGCTCCAATACGGGGTAGTCGGGGAGTGCCTTTAGAGCTAAAGGTTTAGGGTTAGGGTCTTGAGGATCTAGCTTGTGTTTTGCATGGATCCGCTGGGAAGGTGAGGATTTGTTCAGGGTACGGCGTACGGCTCAGGGTTTAGACCCTACATTCCCCTTTTATGTTAGCCAACCCTCAACCCTAAGCCACGAAACCCAGAAACCCCTCAACCCTAAACCCCTAGACCCTACATTCTCCTCTATTTTATTGTAGCCAACCCTCAACCCTAAGCCACGAAACCCGAGACCCTAGATTAGTTGTTGTTTGCCAGGGAACGCCGGATGCTGAGTTGGAGTTGCCCATCAACCGCTGCGTCGTGCGGGACATGTGGAAGTTCGCTCAGGACGGGAGTTTAGTAGCTTTGGTTTTAGGCCACAGGGGTTTAGCGGCTTATGGTTTGAGGGCTTGGCAATCAGGGTTTAGGGTCTATGACGTCCTAGGATTCAGGGTTTATGGTTCAGGGTCTTGGCTTCACAGTGGCTCGAAGCCGGGTGCTCTTGAGGATAAGCTAGACCTCTGATTCATGGACCTTATCAATACCCAGACTTTCCAACATCCTTCAAAATTAAGGAATATACCTGAAATCATACAGGGGGATCCTGCTTTTTTTTTTAATGTACATGCCGGATTTTGGAAGGTCTGGGTAGATCCGTGGTTTATATTCAGGTCTTGAAGCTGTCTGGGTTTGGTTGTTTGGTCCATCGGGAGGGTTCGGGGTGTACAAGGGGTTTCGGGTTTTGGAAATTTGGGGCTTAGGGTTTAGCGTTTGAGGGTTTTGGGGTTTAGAGTTCTGGGTTTGGGGTTTTGGGGCTTCAGGGCTACATTACTTACTTCCTAATCTTTTCTCAGGCATCCACACGAGGTCCCCTTGAGACGTTCTGACCCTTATCGACCTGTACTTGAGGGCGTCATGATCAGCCGTAATCCTGCACCTCAAGCCAACTACATAAAGTATACAATTGCCGAAATCCCTACACCCTAATCAACCTTATAACCCCTAAACCCTAAAACCCTAAACCCTATACCCAAAACCGTGTTTGGCCTTGGGTTTAGGTTTAGAGGTTGTGATACAAACGACAAGCCCTGTGTGAGTCCGCAAGAGTGTCGTAGGTCTTGAAGCAGATACTGCAGGTTTAGGGTTTAGGGTTTAGGGTTTAGGGTTTAGTGGGGTTTAGGGTTTAGGGTTATCTTGTGCGTGTTCTTGCGCGGACCTCCGAATCCCGAGCCTGACCGAAGCGAAGCCGGGGTTCGGCGTTTCTTCCCGATCAACCAGAATTTAGGGTTCAGGGTTCAGGGTTTAGGGTTTAGGGTTTAGGCAGGTTTAGGGTTTAGAGGGTTCAGGGTTTAGGGGGTTTAGGGTTTAGGGTTTAGGGCCATTTAGGGTTTAGGGTTAAGATGCCAGAAGCTTCGACTGTGGCCTGCCTTTTTCACGATCTGGCATTTGCTTGCTGTTGTTTGGGTTTAGGGTTTAGGGTTTAGGGGTTTAGGGTTTAGGGGTTTAGGGTTTAGGGTTTAGGGTTTAGCGGTTTCGGGTTTAGGGGTTTAGAGTTCAGGGTTTAGGGTTTGCGTGCGGGACAGCAGAACCAAGTTCTTGAGTCTGCACGCATAATCAAACTATGCCTGTGACAGTTTGGTTGTGTTCGGTTCAGGCCGTTTTCCAGATGCCCTACGACATGCTGCACAACATGATCCGTGACAGTTTGTTCGAAGGTGCCAGATTGATGCAAATGTGGCGCGATATCATTTATGAAGCAGAGAAGGCTGAAGGCGTGGCGCCAGATTGCTTTGTTGACGTCGAGCGTGTCGCTCACCGTGCAGCATTGCTTACGCATGACAGCGACTTCCGCCCAGTAAGTGTAGGCGCCGTGGAAGTAGGCCGGGTAGCTCGGCCTGATGCCCAAAAATAGAGCCCGCCAAACACTTCCTTTTGAGCACAACACTATTGAAGCCATTATGAAGCTTTGTAGAACCCTGAAAACGGGCCTTTTTGAGTACCCCCTTGGCACTCCCAGGCAGAACAACGAAAGCCTAAACCCCCAACCCTAAACCCTCTGCCCCCAGTCCTAAACCCTATAAGCCCATAAACCCTAAACCCTAAAGACTGAAACCCTAAACCCTAAAAGCCCTAAACCCCTAAATCCTAAAGCTCGAAACCCCAACAGCCCGAAACCCCTATAAACCCTAAGCCCCGAAACCCTTCCCCTTTGTCAGAACAACGCCATCACCCTAAAACCCTAAACCCTAAACCCACATGGATGACTTGTTGCCTGTCCTAGGGGATGCTGATGAAGTCACGAATGTTGTGAGTGAAGAGCCTAAGAGCATATGGAAACGAGAGGCGATGATGTTTCACACTATTGTAGGCCTCGTGAGGCTGGGATGGTCGTAAAGTCCGCTCCATTGCACTTTAAAAAAAACCGTCCTTTGTCAGAACAACGCCATCACCCGGGCGGCCCTGGGCATCTTCGGAAAGCTCCAGAGCTCGTCGGCCTTTGGAGGGCGCGAGGAGGACCCAAGCGATCGGTGCGTTGGGGGTTTTCCTTTATAACGGTGCTTTTTAAGGGTTTGGGGGTTGAGGGGGTTTAGGGTTTTAGGGGTTCAGGGCTTTAGGGATATAGGGGTTTAGGGTTTTAGGGGTTTAGGGGTTTAGGGGTTTTAGGGTATTTTAGGGTTTAGGGCTTTAGGGGTTTATAAGGGTTTAGGGCTTTAGGGGTTTAGGGTTTAGAGTGGCGTATCTGGACCACGTGCCGCACGACCCGGCTCTGACGGCGGACCGGAGGAGCTGGATGAGCTCGAGTCATTCTCGGCCCAAGCCCTGCATGGTAGACAGGGGGGGGGGTTCTAAGTTTAACAGTCGTGGTCTGGGTAGGGTTTAGGGTTTAGGGTTTAGGGTACACATTCCCTGAACCCTAAACCCTAAACCGTTGGGAAGGCTTGGCGTGTAAGGCTATCGGAACTTCGAGTTGCAGCACCCTAAACTCTAAACCACCCTAAACCCTAAAATCTAAACCCAAGCCCCAAACCCTAACCCCTATAGTAACCCTCAAAAGAACCGTTAAAAGACACTCTAAGCCCTAAGCCCTGACACCCCTAAACCTCAAACCCTCAAACC